AGAGAGGGCTGAAAGCCCTATGAAGCGGTATATAAGTCTAACTGCTATTGCTATTTGACCCCTCCCTCGGGCTCAGCCTGGTCATCTCCTACATCTCGGTCATATTTGCGGGGGTATATAATTACACTATATATTTTCTGTTATTTTAAAAAAAGGGAATAATCAGTCAAATATACTGAGCTTTGCGGAGGTGAAAGAAGCATTTCCAAATGATCGAGAATGGTTTTCAGACAATAACTTTTTAAACGCTTCCTTTGGTTTATCACAGTGGTGTGGCAATAAATATTGTAAGCAGATCAAGTTACGTACAGCAGCTGTCAGCTTCTGGAGCCTGAATTATAGCTGAGTTGTAAACTGGTTTTATGTTTTGTAAGAAACAAAGGGGAAGGGACAACATGAAAGAAAATTGTTTTGGTGCAAAACAGGGCCGGAAGGCTACAGTGAGGTCTCAGGGGTTCCCATCGCCAAGCCAGGGCGGAGGCTCCATGCTGTGAGAGCGCCCCAGAGCAGCTCCTCCAACTCGGTCGTGGTGCAGATAGACGCAGAAGAAGGGAACAAAGTGATTACCCTGCGCTCCCCTCTCCAGGTAAATCCTGCTTCGGTGTGGGGAAGCCTTGCACACCTTGAGCGTGCAGTGAAAAAGTGGTGCTTTCCTGCAGCACCAACCCCATGTGGGAAACCACACACTACTGGCAGGCAAGGTACTGTACAGAATCAGGGAGAAAACCCCCTTCCCTTCTAGCACTGATGATGTTCCCTAGTGGGGCCGTGAAATGTCTGCAAGAAAACTGCCAAGCTTAGAGACCATGAAGAACTCTACAGTTCTACCCTGAACGACAAGAAATTCTTTCTCTTCTATTGGAACCACGAATCTATTCACGTGTTATTCACATTCTGTTTCCCATTTCAGATTAAAAACCACTTCTCTGTCCCATTTATAATCTACAAATTTGTTAAGGACATTAAACAGCTGAGGCCTTTAGGTGTGTCTCTTCCAGAAGAGGAATTTCATGTTCCCTTGGATTCGTATCGGTAAATATTTCACTCGTTCAGATCCTCAAGCGGTTCTGTTTATTGCAAAGGATTTGCACTGTTTTTTGTCCCCCTCCAATGTCTTCTGCTTTCTGTGATTGGCTTCTTAGATGTCAGCTGTTTGTTCAGCCAACAGGCGTCTTGAAGGGACAATATGAGCCATCCACAACCTACATTTCCTGGCAGGAAGAACTGCACAGGAGCAGTGAAGTTACCTGTATGCTTCAGTGCCCAGCCGCCGATGCCCGTTTCCTGCCACTCCGCTTGAAGGCCACGGCCGTGCCCGATGAGCTCAACTTCATCGCAACCCACAAGGAGAACTGGGAGCCGGCCTACATTATTCATTTCTACCCCACGCTTACCCTGCAGAACCTTCTGCCTTACTCTCTGCAATACATCCTCGAGGTACCTTAGTCAAGAGGGGCTGTGATGCAATTCAGAAAAGCCCAGGGGATTTCAGCATTCAGTACATCCCCTCCCCTCTTTTTTTTTTTTTTTTTGGCAACACCTCAAATTTTCTCTTTCTTCCCACAACTCTACTTACCAGTACTTAACTTTGCCCCAACGGCTTTTAGCTCTCTCCATCCCCTTGAAAGAGAAATCGTTTTGAGAGGCATTTCAAACACATGGTGATGAACTAGAGAGCATTTTTTCCCCTTTTAAAAAAAAGCCCCCGGTTCAGTGTATTCTAGGTTACAGGTAGCACCTGTAGCAGTCCGGGTGGGCGCGCAAGAGCTGTTGTGTCTGAGGCAAGTGTAAACCATCTAGCCCAGGGGTCTCCCAACCTTGGCAACTTTATGACTTGTAACGTTCCCGTGGTTTGCCCATGAGGCCAATGTTGAGAAAAGACAGGACACAACCTTTCTCGGGATGGAGCGACCCAGATTGGGGCCTGAGAGCCCCTTTTATTGAGATAGGACAAAGGCAGGAGGAGCAATCAG